TTTTTTTTTTTTTTTTTTTTTTTTTTTCTTTTAGTTATACGGTAATAAAAATCGCCTTAAAAGCTTTACGGCCGAAAGTAAACCAGTTAAGGTAGTAATCATAGAATTGCCCGGAGGGAAAACATTTCTCGTATCAAATAAAAGTATACGCTGTTGTTATTTTGTATTCTAGTTGCGCTTTAGTTGACTATATGAATTTGAATTTTAGTCGAAGTTATAGCGCAAGAGTGGGCTTACGTTTTATACCCATAAGTGCAGCCACATATACCGTAGTATTAACATAAAAGCAAATTTTTTTTTTTTTTTTTCAATACGTCGCGTGCGTTTGTAACGCAAACTTACGTACGTTTTTATATGTGGATTGGTAATTTGAAGTGTGCGTGTGTATTTGTCCTGTTATACAATCGTTATACAATTCGGCAATGTGTGTACAATTTTAGTGAACGAATGAAATTGTTTATGGGTTCTTTCAGCTGCCTACCGAGCACGTTTGTGCATCGATTGTTATAATTTTCAGAATATTGTGTGCATATGTATGCCGATCAATAATTCCCGGAATTAAATGAATCAATCTTAACATATTGTTACAAATTAATGTTAACAAAGCGCGAGCCTTAAGCGAGAAAGCTTATGCAATCATATCTGGGATATTTTTTAAAATTATCTCCGTTGACCTCATCTTTGACTATTTTTATCAACTGATATATGTTTAATAGGGGTATTTATATACAAATTTCTACATTTTTTCCGTGTTCGAAAGGGCCGTAAAGGCTATGAGATTGAAAAGTTTCTTTTAAGAGCAAAATGAGCTAACTTTTCAGCTTTCTGCATATCTATAAGTGAATTTCTGGGAGAATATATATAAAACCCGTTTGGGGCATAAGATTTATAAATCTTTTATCCCAAAACATAGATTAAGATATAAATTGCCCTTGATCCAGTCTTTAAAAGTCAAGACTTAACTAAAAGGTTGTAGAGAATTGTGTTGAAGTTGACAGTCAATGGAGAGTGATCAGACCTGGGCTCTTCATTATCATAGATGCGAGGTAAATTAGCGAGAATACTAGCTAGCGAGCTGGCGAATGTGAGAAATTTTCCTTAGATCGCATAGCCAGTATGTGGATATGCCAGTGGTCAAACCAAGAATAGAAATGAATTTGCAAAGCTTCCTTCCTTTCGTATATGCTAATGTAGTTGGCAATTGGATGCAATAAATTTGTGCCTGCAATTGTGCTTGCTTGACGCAATCATTATTATTAATTACTATTACATTTAAAAAGTACACAAATCGAATTGAAATTCACTTTAATACAAGAAGATTGTAAAAATGATTTTCTAAAGATTTTTCGAATTTGTGTAGAAATGCGTAACTAGCATGCGCTCTATCATCATCAATAAAATGCTCATAAAGGTGATTTTCTACTTTATGGATGTGATTGGGAAGGGCATTGGCATTTCATATAACGATTCGGAAATTCATTTGCATTTTTCAGAGACTAAGAGTATCTGTCATCATACTGATTGAGATTGTTTATCGTCTTAAGCGGTTTTGTGATCAAGTCCTCAATTCTTCAAAATGATTTGGTATTTTTTAATTTATCAGCATACTAATGATTGAAAATAACCTTTCAACCTATCATTAGCAATATCAATATTGTGTGTGATTGAATTGATTGTCTATGAAGCAAAGGGAATTGTTCTTGATTGAAGGTATAATTGTTACAATGCTTGTCTTGCGTTAATCCGTGTGGCATAGAGTATTGAGGTTTCTTATCAAGAAACTTTTGGTATATAAAACAATGTTTATAATTGGCCGGAATGGTTTTGCAGAGAATGAACAATGAACACATTTTGAAGGGATACCTTCAGTTCAGATATTTTCAGTTCAAGTTTTATTCAAGTTATCCAAAATATGTTTAGGGCGTCTTACTTGCCTTGCACAATAAAGTGTAAAATGAATTTTTTGTCCCGGCAATTACGGACCGATGTGTTGAAAATTTATATGTATACAATAATATAGTGTGCTGAATGGCAATGCGCACAATTATGTACACATTCTATGCAACAATAACGAGTTTTGTTTTTTTTTTTTTTTATTTATATGACGCCTTTCGTTTTAGCGACTAAGTGTGTTATATTTGTTCCGTTTTTTATTTAACCAATATTAATTGAATAAATGAAGTGAGCCGTCGAAGTGTTAATAACTAGCTATTTATTAAATAGAAATGTTGTCATTTTTATTGCTTATGAGCATATAATTATGTTTACATTTAGAATTAGATAGGATAGGTCTGCAATAACAATTAAAACGGTTTCTTGCATCTATATTTTGTAACTAAATTTAATATACTGGGTGATGAGGGATTAGTGATCAATTAGGGCTCAATTCACCTTAGTTTAGAGTAGTCAATCATTCGTCGCCAGATTTTAATATCTTAATAGCTTGTCGCTATTCTAAATAAGCTTTCTACTTAGCTGAAGCTTAAAAGCTGCCTTAGTCTATTGCAAAAATTCAATTTACGGCATATATACAAAATACGATTTGTACATAAGCCTATCTTAATGAAAGATTTCATCATAATGTTTTATTGATATTTAATTTCAACAAGTTTGGAAACAGTTTGTCTTAAGAATTTAGACTTTATTAATTTGTACCGAGCGATTGTTATCTTCCGAATTATTTGCATTCATACGATAAGACCTTTTGAAAAAAGTCTATTCAACTTTTTTGTATTTGTT